CACACCAGCGAAGAGGGATTTGATCAGGAAAGGTTAAAGACTTGGTGAGCAGAGATGGGAGGAATGTTTCACGCAAGATTTTAGCAGTAAAAGGAAGAAACTGTAAGCATGGGTGCTGTGTTGGACTGCTCAGAACTGGGCAATTTGGCATTCCTCACAGCCTATGGCAATCTCTGGGTGGAAGTTTCTTGGCTTTTTTTTTTCACTTAAAAAATTGTCAACCATGGTGTGCAGCAGCATTTCACTATTACATCTTAGAAAGTCTGTGATAGTTGAAGTAATCTGGAAAGTACAGATGCATTAATTGATTAAAGTTCTTGAGGCTGCTCGCTGGGTCCAGCTACCCTGGATCTAGAATTCCATTCCAAATATTTTGCTTTTGATAAATTTCACTTGAAATCTTCCAAAACTTTTACTATAGTTATGCTATGTAAGCTATATATTTATACTAGTAGTAAATAGGATGAAACGGTGTTTGAAGAGAAAGCTTTCTCCTGTTTTATGAAGGTCTTCTCCTGAAGTTCCTTATATATGTGTTTTTGTGATTTAATAGTAATGTATATGCAGCTATTGATGATAACTCCATGCTGCAGTTAGTTAGCCTTGTTATCCTTTGCATATTTATTTCCAAGAATTTCAAAGCATAGATGAAAGTCATGTTTCACTCAGCCCCCTGTACTCCAAACTTTTCTGCAGTGTTTGCCAACTTCACCTTTCAATTGGTCATTCACTTGTTAAATGAGTGAAGTAGCCAAACCCCACCAATCCTTTATGTCAGTTAGGCAAAATCAAGTCTTACAGTGCTTGGTTTTTAACTTGTCATTTTTCAAGCAGGGAGTCCCTGTAACTATGCTTGTTGATGCAGCTTGTCTCTTGGTGAGCAATCTAAGGAACTTTTGGCCCTGCCATGAGCAGAGGCTTGGAGCAGGTAACTTCCAAAGGTCCCTTCCAACTTAAATTGCTGTATAATTTTATCTTTCGGATAGTTTCTTGTCAACTTGTCAACGCAGCCCTTTTGCTCATGTGCTGGCTGAGGGATTTTTGTACATTTTCTGTACATTAATGCAAATAACAAAGAAAAATGGGAGAAAGGAGTGATCCTGATGAACCAAACTGTTAGATGAATTGTTTATCCCCACGTAGAAATGCTATGGTTTTTCTACTGAAAACAACTCTTAAGACTTTTCTCTGAAGCACACCATTTATTTCACTTGGAAATTAATCAAAGCCAAACTGCAGGAATGATTGTTTTGATCAAAGTAATTACAGTTCAACTTCCAGGCAGTTATCTGAGCAGTGAGACCTGTAATACTCCACTTAACTTGTCACATAGGTATCTTGTTTTTTCAGGTTTCTTTTCAAAGGTGCCTCTTCCAGGTTCATAGGAACACTCAGGACTCCGTTCTTTGGGATCTTCTCTACTTTTCTTTTACACTGAAAACTACACTTAAACAAGAAAATGTTTCAGTATTTTTTTAGTATCATTTTACTACTATTAGCTTGGAGATTTTCTGGCCCCTCAAAACTGAAAAAAAAAAATCAAGACTTCCAAACATCTGATACAATATCATTTTGACTTTGTGGAGTGTTTCTGCTAGCTCATCTACAAAATAGGTAGTTCTTATTTCTGTGTCCCTGTAGGTGTACATTTCCTCTCATTCTAGTGGTTTGTTTAAGGGCAGTTAAGTTCAGAGAGCATATCACTTGTGGCCAGGAAACTTTGCAACATTAATTTCTATAGAAGCCTTCAAAAAAGAGTCAAAATATGTCTAAACACAGCTCTCATGCATGTTTGTGTTGGCAGCAATTGGAAGGTAATAAAGGAAAATATTAAGAATGCAGTTCTGCTGTATTAGTCAGAGATGTGCCAAATAGCTTTGGGGCAACTGAGGTAGCGCTTAAAACAGGGCATGTGTCCCACCACCCTGCTGGTAAGGATTTTTAGTTAGAAAAAATGTTGATAGTAAATAAAAAGCCTGCACTTATAAAACTTCCTTTGAGGCTCTGGTACTTTGCCTGGTTAAGTAGTTTGGTGAATTCAGCTACACTTTTCTCCTTTTTGCATACACGAAAGAGTGGTCTCTTTTGAATTAGATTGTGTCCCACGGCAAAGTAATTTCCAGCCATGCTTTCTCTGGAGGAATATAACTAACAGGAAATGTAATAAAATACCTTGTAAAGAAAAGGTGAAATGTGCAGGATATATGCATTTACCAAACTGTATTTATAATGTGTGATAGATGGTTTCCTTCAAAGGCTTTTTTTTTTTCATGTATCTTGCAAAAGGTAGGAAGTAAAAAAGGAATATTGCTATAATTCTACTCAAAGGCACCACAGCAAGTAAGTCTTCATACCTTTAGTGCATAAGGATGTTAGAATCCTTCAGTAGAGGTATAGATAAATTCATAATTATCTGCTTATGCTATTATTACCATTATCTACTATTGCCTAATTAGTATTGTCTAATATTGAATTTAGCACTGAAAATGTGCTATCCACACTCAAGAAAAAGTCTACTGCAAAGAGCTTGGCTTCCGTTAACAGCAAGGGTCGAGGTGAAAACTGCAGTGAAAGTGGCAGTACTATTACGATAGGAAGGAAAAGATTACCGAAAAAAATCTGCTTTTTTGTGCACTCTTTATTGCAAAATATGTACTATACTACTCTTAATGTCAAGGTTCATGGGTAATTAGTTCCCATTTCCCTTGGCCCTTCTTTGAACCTGGCTAGGAGAAAGGCTCTCTAGGCAAGCTCATCATTATCTTTTGAGCAAAATGTTCCCTTCTGTTAAATGTAGTTTTCTTCACTAGTTGGGGTCACCCTGCTATTCAAGCACACTCTGTGCAGAGAAACTCAGTAGACATGGGCCTGCCCAATGCAGGAAGCATCTCCCCCAGCAATTAATCCGAAGCTGTGGCGCTGCACTAAGCTGTTCCAGCCAACGGTAATACAATGAAAACCTCTCTTTGCCTATTTTCAGTTCTCAATTCTTACATTTTCTCCTTTTGCATGATTTGAAAAAAATGAAGGCACCACTGTGTCTGCCAAAGCTCCATGTGGAATACTGTTTTTCTATGGTGGAAAAATCTGTCCTGCGCGGTAATTACTGTGAGGCAAGTCCATTTAATCTGCCCAAGGACTTTTAGTGTCTTACACTGTTCAAGAGGATTTAGGAGGCCTGATCTCTCCCAAGTTTTAAGAATGACTTTCCTAGGTTAGAGGTGTGAGAGATGTTAGCTTGCTGCATAGATTGAGTTCCTGGCGTCTTAGGGGCATATATACAAAGCTGGAATATAGACTGGAGTTTCTCATGGGCAGTTGCTTGTGAATATCAAGTCTGGCTAAGAGGTAGACATGGGATAATCATTACATAGCTTTCCCAGTTTCTTTTAGTAACTTTGCCCTACATAACTTCCAATCAGCTTTTTCCCTCCCTTGTGGCTTATGTTGAAGAGGATAAGATTGCAGCAAGTATTTAATCTTCCTCCCGTACCAATTTTATTTTTGTTTTTCAGATCGTCCACTCAACGTACCACAAGGGAGGCTTTATATGGTTTTCTATGAAGAAAGGCACAGCATGTCTTTAGTACTCAGTTAGATCTGTAATCTCTATCACTCCATAAGATTGGCCTAATTTTTCACTTGTCTCCCAATTTTCAGTCGACTAGTTTTCCTTTGGCCCCAAAACTGGCTCCTGCTTGTTCTTGTGCTCCTGCAGCCACTGCTGTTTTTTCTGGTTTGAATCTGTCAGAGGAAAGGAGCCTGTGGTGTTTGGTACATGTGAAAAGATCAACCACAACATCAATAATTCATTATTTCATTTATTTAATGGCTCCTGCAATAATGTAATATGAGTGGCTCAAAACTCCAAGTAGACTTTTTAAAGACCAAAACAAACTAGTGTTTCACTTACGTAGAAATATCCATGATTTACCCAAAATATATCTGTTCAGAATACTGATGTATTGAAATAATAAGTATTTCCCACAATTTCTAGGATTTTCTTTTCTTGTTTAAGGCGCTTGCTTGTTTAAGGAATTTTGAAGTTGAAAATTGTCTCATGAATGCCCTGGATGGTACTGCATGATGAGGAGTCCACTGAGGCTGTTCAAGTTTTGCAAGAAACAATGAGCAGCAATCCAAAGTTTGGGTTAAATTATTCTGTCTCCTGTAGGATCTTGCAAGAGGAGTATGCAAATTTCTGAGCATGCAAAGAGTCCTTTCCAAGCATGCAAAGAGTTCTTTCCAAGCATGCAAAGAGTGATATGTATTTGCTTCAGAAAATTGCTTTTTGGGAAGAGCCTCATGGTACACTCATGATCTACTGAGAGGGTCACTAATAAGTGATCCTTCAGGAATCAACAGCTGGATGTTTAATTACCCTTTTCTGGGAATTTCATTTCATATTATTTTTTAGGCCTATAGTCCTTTGATTTGCTCCAGATCTCTCTAGAGGATGAAGAAGCACCCTACATCTTTGAGAGATATGCATGCGCCAGAGCATGTGAAAAAGCTTCATCTTTTTTATGCCATGTAGTTGGTCTGTATATGATAGATTGTTGCTTATATCTCATGGGGAAGGTATGGAGAGAATGCTATTGGCAGGGAGTTGGATGTTTGTGTTCTTGTGAATGAAAAAATTGCAAGTAAATAGCACCGTGCTTGACTCAGTTTCTCCTTATCAGGCTGTTTCTGACTTGAACTTTGCCAGAACTGAAATTGTGTGTGAGAGGAGACAGACTTACACCAGTGGTGCATTAAAATAAACATTAACAGCATGTGTGCAAAGATTTGTCAAAGTGAATGAGAAATTACATGTTTAGAGAGACAGCATACACTCAGGAAAAAGAATATCCCATTTTTTTCAGAGCAACAAACAAGGCCTTTAGGCTCTTTTCTAAGAGGCCAGGAGCACCAGAGGGAGTGCTGGCAGTTGCTTGCTCCAGACCCTATAAGAACGTTTAGTTTGCAAAATTTTCATTTTCTATTTTATTCCTCAGTTATGAGTTCCACGTGAAACCTAGAAATCCTCTGGGAGAAGGCCCGAGCAGCAATGTGGTGGCGTTCAATACCGAATCAGGTAAGAACGTCCAAAGGTTTGTCCATCATTTAGAAATAAATCATTGGTGATGTGCTCAGCCACTAGGGAATTAACATTTTGTAGCTTCAAATTAAACAGACAATGTGGTCCTATGGATGGGATCCTAAAACTGGATTTAAATAATTTGTCTGTGCCACTGGTTTCCTACATTCCCTCAGTTTCTATAGAGGTTTTCTTGTACAAGATAAAAAGTAGCATTTCTGGAGAGGTCATGAATATGGTTTACATGTGACTGACTTGCTGGTCCGTGCAGTAAAAGAGTTTTGTTCACATATTTTTGCTCACTAGCATCAGCTGTAAACTGCTTTTTTTTGTTACAGTTCTGTTGTATCTGATTTTGTGTACTATTTTTAATCCGTTTGTCTGAGGTATATGAAAGCAGTGAGACATTAGATAGTACTTAGCATAGTTGGGCTCTTTTGCTTCATGGAGCATCTTCTGGTTTGTGTTTTTACTATCTTCAGCTTGGCTTTTTACTATTGAGCCAGTTATGGCAATGCCTGGGAGATGAGCCCGAGATCAGGGTGCTTTTGCATGAGGATATAACCAGACTGGCCAAACTGCAGGAGAAAATAAAAAGATGGAACACAGAAAGATCAATGTCTGATCTTTGCTCTGAAGAAACTAACTTTACGCTTAAAGAAGGCTGAGTCATTTAGGAGTTAGTATTGCTGGCACTTCTCTGTCTGTGAAACTCACCTGCCTGAAAAAAAGTTCTGAGGAACAAACAGTTCTTCTTGGGGCTGACATGTTTATATGCACTTCTGTCCACCTTGTCAAAAAGACTACTGTGCAATAGGTGTGTTGTTCAACTGAAATTCATGATTGAGAAATAGTAGTTCAGAAATACTGGAGTCCCGAGATGCCCTTTTTCATCATGTTGTCTCTCTTGTGAAACTGTTAGAGAGGAATGTACAAGGCTGGCTTGGGCACAGGTTGATTCCCAAGTTGTACCTGACTCAGAGGTGAGGGTCAGAGAGTGCCTTTGCTTCCCCTATTCCAGTGCCCAGGGAGGAGGACAGTAGCATTGTTGGCTCTGTACAAGCAGGATATATGTATTTTTGAGTAGATCTGCATATTGCTCAATAGTACTCCAGCACCTTATAAAGCACAATATGGGTTCAGCCTCTTTAAAGGGACATTCTCAGGTTGCACTTCTAGCCAGGTATCGTCACAGTCCTTACATAGCGCCCAGTCACGGATGAATCAGAGCTTTGGCTGTGCAGAGAATTAGCCAGGGAGGAGTTCAGACTATGCCTGGCATTTTTGAAAACCATGAATATACTCTTTGTAACTTAAGATTGTTAAACCTGAAAAATATGTTTATGCCAAATGCAATGTTCATGCTTACTCTCTGTCTCCTATTTTGTTTGGATAAATTAAGCAGTTAGTTAGTTTTGTTTTTCCTTTAATTGCACACACCCATTTGTCATTGGGGGGCTTTCATAGCAAAGTTTTGTGCTGCAAGTATTACAGAAGAGTCCTTTTATTATTAAATATTTTTGAAATTGAAATAGAAAAAAGAAAGCTGTAGAACTGTTATTTTACTGGCAGGTTTTATACTCTTGATATTACTAAAACCTAATTTGAGTGGTATTGTCTCAGAAGTAACATTTTTAAAAGCCCAGTGATGCAGTAGTTTCACACAGTGGCACAGAAAGTTTATTTCTTTACTTTAATACAAAAAAAAAAAAAATAGTAGTGAATTTTGCTTCCAAAACTTTGTTTTGCAGATTATAGCTTATGTCAACTACAGAAAATCATACTAGGAAAAGCATCGTAATGCTTTTCCACTGAAATATCAGGGAAGTTTAATTTGCACTATCTGATTGAATGTTTGTTTTCTTTCCTCAGCGGACCCAAGAGTGAGCGAGCCAATTTCAAGTAAGCTTTTTATGCCAAGTATGGTGTATTCTGATCAGGATTTTTTTCGGAAGTGAGATAGCATAATTTTTTGAGGGGTGTTGCTGTACTGTGCCAATTAAATGAGCTATGGGACAGAGCAGCATCACTCATGATTTCACTCCTTCCATCTATATCATAAGGAATTCTCGCCAGGCTAAATGTTTACCTGAGCACAACACAGTCAAGTGAGGTGGTGCTCAAGTGGCTTCAAACCAAAGTACACAGATGAGGACAACCCTTGTGATGTGTCAGCCTGGTCATTAAATGAAAATAAAGCATTGTAAAATGAATGAGCTGCTTTGCACTTTTGCAAATGAGTTAACAGAGCACAATTCAGAAGTTGCTATTTATCTGCCAGGGTACTTTCCAAAAGTTGTCTGCGTCCAAAGGGTTGACCCAGCTCTGCTTTAGGCCACTTTTTAAGATTCTTGATGTGTTTGGTGGGAATATACTCCAAGGCACATTCTGCTCCATCAGGGTTTTAATTGTGTTTATTTTAGTGTATTTGTCGTACAGCATTCCATATGCCATATTGTACTTATGCCTCTCTTGCTCTCCTGCAGTGGGAAAGGATGCCATCTGGACTGAAATCCCATTCAATTCAGACACCTATTCAGAATGCAAAGGGAAGCAATACGTAAAGAGGACTTGGTATAAAAAGTTTGTAGGTGTGCAGCTGTGTAATTCATTGAGATATCAGATATACCTCAGCGACTCACTCACAGGTAAGTGGCATTCAAGTTGTCCACATTGTCCATCCCTCAAGATATGGGTCAAGATATGGTTAAGTTTAACAAGATTGGCTCTGTTGAAACATGATCGGGGATGTTTAATCTATTCCATAAAAAGATTAATCTGCCTGTGCTCAGTAATCTGAATGTAGTTGATGCCCGATTTTCCAAGACTCACAAGTTACTTCTCCACAGTCATCATGTGTTTTACAGCACCTATTAGTAATCAGGGGATCATACAGAATACTCATAAAGACCAGATCTCTGCCAGGGAATGGTCTGTATTGTGAAGGTGCCAATCTTGAATTCAGAAAGTGGTCTGGGATAGTTCTTAATGCAGGATTAGGGCCTAATTTTAGCCCATGATTAGAGCTCACTCATTCCCACCCCATTGGGTACACTTCTGCTTAAGTCATTATTGTATAATGCAAACGTATAGCCTCTCCTCTAATGAACAGATTTTACTCACCCGCAGAGTTCGGGCCCTCGCGGGAGCAGGGCTCAGCAGTCTCCGTGTGTGGGAGCCGGGTTGGAAAGCCAAAAGAGCAGAGTGCACCGGGCAGCCCGTGCCAATGTAACCAGGAGCCGCCTGGCCTTGCCCCCGCCACCGCTCCCCCGTGAGCAGACAACGAGGGAAGCCCTGGCGTTAACAGTGAGCACGGTCCCGCCTCGTAAATAGTGTCTTGGCAGATGTGTGAATAAGAGAGGCCGTTCTGAACAGAGGTATCATTCATTCACCCCATGCTGCACTGCCCCACGGCGATCAAGTGACAAGAACTGGCAATGAGGTAGAGCGTATCACCAAACCAGTAGAGGAAATAGCTGTGCTAATCTAGCAGGACTAGACTGCAGCCCTAAATCAAGCGTATTAACACCACACTGAAAGCTACTTCGGTCTCAGAGTAAGAGTTTCACATATCAGCAGCCCATTTTCCTATTTTTATTAGATTGTTTTTGTTCTTGCTGGAAGACTGGAGATTTAACTTGGCTGAGGAAAGATGATGGTAGCCACATTGCATTCCCTTCACTTGCTGAGCCTGCTTCTTGCACTCAAACCGCTGAAACCACTGCAGGCCACTTGTCACAATATTAGAAGGAATTTAAATGTTTATGTAAATGTAAACCCTTCCATGTTTTTCACCACTCTTTGCTAAGTGGGGCTGACATGACTCGGACCTCTCCAGTAGAGCAGGCAGGTCTCCAATTTACACCAACTCTTGTTCTGATGTCTCATCGCACCCCTGCGGCCGGTGGAAGTATTAGTCTGGTTTTTTAGCATGTATTTACACTGCTGTTGTTGCAGAACTCAGTGTGCAAAACTGCATCTAATTTGCTTAAGAACCATCCATAATGATAGAACATTGTTGAATGTTCCCTTATTGCAAAAATTAAGTATTATATTTATGCTAGAATTACTACTGACAGAAAGAAAAGGTGAATCTAGTCATTTGTTACCTGAAAGGTTTTTCAAGTATGTTTCTTATTATGGAAGTAATTGGACAATGGGAATTCAGTAGATAATCCCTGAGGACACTGCTAATTTATGTGTGGCAAGTGCTTGAGTTAGGCATATTTTATGTCAAGAGTGTATGGGTATCTGAAAGTTCCTGCTCTTTTGTTAGTCGTAAAAATGCCTTTTTTTATTCGGCCGTTAGTGAAGAAAACCTGATTGACGTTGCACATGTCAGTACTGTTCTATAAAACAGCATCTCCTGCTGACCTCATTTAACAGTCCTCCAGAGCTCCAGATCAGGCCACCAAAAAGAAGTATTTATTGAGGGGAGGAAAAAAAAAATATATATGACCTTCAACAGCCATGGAAAAAAAAGAAAGAAAAGGCATGCAGTTTTGGGCAGCTTGAATGTGCTTAATTTCCGACCAAAAATTTACCAAGAGAAACTCCCTCTGATTAGTTCTTCTTTGGAAAAAATACATCTACAGCCAAGACAACACAGTAATAAATAATTTTCTGAAGCATGTGCATGAAATTCTGCTCTGAGATCATCAGCTAGAGGTGAGAAATTTTGGCAAAGTATTAAGCAGATCAGAAAAATGTAGGAAAAAGATGAACTGTTGGTGAGCTGCTACAATGCCAGTAGAAATTCAGAAAGCAGCACTAAAAGCCACCTCATCGTCTCTCAGATGGCCTGACTGGCACAGATTCAAGGCTACCAGAGTCCCAACATCTAACTGGATTTTCTGCTTAGTTTATATCTGAGGACTGAGCATATTTCTAAAAGCTATCACCATTTCTTTCAACTTCACATTTAGAAGCAGCAAAAGGTCTGTGAGGGCAACTTTGTTTTGCGAAGATTTTTTTGTCTCTCATTCTAGAGGGAGAGCGATTTACTTCTAAATCTCTGGTTAGGTTGTCCCCAAATAACCAGAAGTTTAACAGATCGAGACCAGGTGCTGCAAAGGGTGATCAGAAAAAGCAGTTAACTGATCTGAAAATGTTTCCTGCCAAGGCCGAGGAAGAATAGACGGAGTGCTTTCCTCCATCTCCTTGACTGAATTATACTGAGGTCTTGTGAACCAAATCAGTAAAAAAATCGCTGTCTCACTCTCTCACTGAAAGCCTTGTTATTAACTGGGTAAGGACAGCCTGCAGTGTCAGCACACACTGCATGTGGTACTGGGGACCTACAGGCCAGTCAGCCTCACCTCCATCCCTGGAAAAGTGATAGAACAGCTCATCATGGCTGTTGTTGCTAGGCAAGTGGAGGGCAAGAAGTAGTAGCATGGCTTCACCAGGTAGTAGCATGGATTCACCATTCAATCATGCTTGACTAACCTGATAGCCTTCTGTGATGGAATGACCGGCTGGGTCGATCAGGGGCGAGCGGTGGATGTCGTCTATCTCAGCTTGAGCAAGGCTTTTGACACTGTCCCTCATAGCATGCTCCTGGGCAAGCTCCGCAAGTGTGGGTTAGATGAGTGGACGCTGAGGTGAATTGAGAACTGGCTGGATGGCAGAGCTCAGAGGGTGGTGATCAGCGGTGTAGAGTCTAGCTGGAGGCCTGTAGCTAGTGCTGTCCCCCAGGGGTCAGTCCTTGGTCCAGTCCTGTTCAATTTATTCATCAATGACCTGGACGAAGGCACAGAGTGCTCCCTCAGCAAGTTTGCTGATGATACCAAACTGGGAGGAGTAGCC